TTTTGTAAGCTGTGAATTTTGACATGTCTTCTAAATATTAATGTATTGGGTACAAGGAAATTAATTATATAACCGTTTTTAAATAAAATCTTAAAATATCAATAGGGTGTTCGATGAACGCGCAAAGGTATTCTAGTTCAGGAAAATGCGTTCGATAAGGATTTTTCTTGCACTCTTCTTGCACCCCACTTTTTTACATTTTCAGTACACACATCACATCGAATAGACCATGCGTCAGTAGGCAACTATTTGGATGTTTTTAAGTGTAGTTTTGCATCTTGATCTTTTTCTGCATGGCATCTCTTTACTTAATCACCTTACCTTTTTTTTTAAATTCCAACGTTGGCAATGCCACACGCTTTCTTATTTGACAACTTGTCAATGGCCATCACGTTGTGTGAAGTTTTTCGAATTTTTGCGAAATAATTGGGAAAAAATAGTTGAAATTCGATGTAAACGTAGTAAAACGGACACATTTCTCTTTAATATTGGATACTTCGTAATTTGCGCCATAAATAGCCTATTTCATCGAGTTCTGTTTGTCTGACTTTGGCTGAGTATTGAAAGCGCAGAGTGGCGCGCCCCAGGAATATCGCAATTTTATTTGGAGCATAAAAACTGGTTTACCGATCGTTGTCATGGACAAGAATATTACAATGGACAGACGGTTCAGCTTAAATATGACGCATTTGCCTAATCCTATCGCAGAATCGACGTGTTTAAATTTGAATGGCACCACAACGAGCCGTGAGAGAAGCAGGTATGATATTTATTAGAACATTACCAATATGTACAATTTTACCAAGATTTTTTTATTCACACAGTGCTGCTAACCAATTTCGCTGGGGAGGTAGTCCGATAAGCACAAAAAATCTAAGCAATTCTAGTATTAACTTAAACGGCACAGGTGCCCCGCCCAAAAGCAAGAGTACTATCACCAGTCCACAACGCGCCAGAATGAACCTTAGTAAAATTGATCCCAGGTATTTATTTTTCTACTATACTTGAATATACGATTTTTAACATAAGTCCAATCGCAATCGTTAAAATCGCACCAATTTGCAATATATTCTTGAATATTTGCAAAGCTGAGATAACTCAGAAATCGAAAACTAAGAATCAAAGCATATATATTTTATGGTTGAATTACCATTTACGGACGAAAAAATTGTCTAGAATATCGACCTGTGTAAAGGCAACTTAATGAAAGTTATTAATATTTCAAATCGAAACTACTAAAACATAATTTACATTACTTATTTACATATATGTACA